ATTCATCCTTTGTAATCTGTCCTAGTTTCCATTTTTTATAGGACTCCTTTTTATTTTTTAGATCATGCAAGATCTCGTGGTTAAGCCAAGGTGGTCTTTTGCCACATTTTCTATCTTTCCTAACCAGCGGAATAGCTTGCTTTTGGGCCCTTAATCGTGTCCCTTTGAAAAACTGCCAACTCTCCTCAGTTGTTTTTCCCCTCAGTCTTGATTCCCATGGGACCTTACCTATCAGCTCTCTGAGCTTACCAAAATCCGCCTTCCTGAAATCCATTGTCTCTATTTTGCTGTTCTCCCTTCTACCCTTCCTTAGAATTGCAAACTCTATGATTTCATGATCACTTTCACCCAAGCTGCCTTCTACTTTCAAATTCTCAACGAGTTCCTCCCTATTTGTTAAAATCAAGTCTAGAACAGCTTCCCCCCTAGTAGCTTTTTCAACCTTCTGAAATAAAAAGTTGTCTGCAATGCAGTCCAAGAATTTGTTGGATAGTCTGTGCCCCGCTGTGTTATTTTCCCAACATATATCCGGATAGTTGAAGTCCCCCATCACCACCAAATCTTGGGCTTTGGATGATTTTTAGTTGTTTAAAAAAAGCCTCATCCACCTCTTCCACCTGGTTAGGTGGCCTGTAGTAGACTCCTAGCATGACATCACCCTTGTTTTTTACCCCTTTTAGCCTAACCCAGAGACTCTCAACACTTCCATCTCCTATGTCCATCTCTACCTCAGTCCAAGTGTGTACATTTTTAATATATAAGGCAACACCTCCTCCCTTTCTCCCCTGTCTATCCTTCCTGAGCAAGCTGTATCCATCCACACCAACATTCCAATCATGTGTATTATCCCACCAAGTTTCAGTGATGCCAACAATGTCATAGTTGTATTTATTTATTAGCACTTCCAGTTCTTCCTGCTTATTACCCATACTTCTCGCATTTGTATATAGGCATCTAAGATACTGGTTTGATCTTTCCTCCCAGTTTTGTCCTGACCCTCCTTTCTCTCTGCCAATATAGCCCACACTCCCTCTCGTTTCCGACCCATCTCCCAGGTCTCCATGTTCCCCACTTACCTGCGGGCTTTGCTCACCTGTCCCCGTCGAACCTAGTTAGAGTGCCCAGAAGGCTTTAGTCTCATGCATGGCTATAAACAGACAGTGTACATTGCGGGATGACAGAACCTAAATATTTCTTCCTCTCCATTCTTGCCCTTGAATTGTGTGCAGAACATTAGGTGTATGTTTGTACATCTTCAGGGTTCAGAAAAATCCTAGCTGTGAGCCATCAATTCAGCTCTGGTATTTGGAAGGTACATTTGGGAAACATTAGCTCATTATCATATTGTTGGCAATAAATAACCTGTCTCTTTTCTGCATCAAGATCTATAATCTTTTCCCTGTGGATTAGCCCATCATCCCTCAAACTGGCTGTAGACTCAGGATCAAGTTTTCACTTACCCATTAGGATTTTCACCAGTTCTGTGCTAAACCATTTTAACTGCTGCTGTAAATGATAGACAGCATATTGTGAAGCTTAAAAGTTTTACGTGGGCTGAAAACATTTCCAAGTCCTCCCGTTTTTAAGGCTAGATAATTCTTATGCCCTGTTCTTTCCTTTGACACCTTATGTCATCTGCACCATCCCTATTCCAATTGCTCATTTTAGTTTACCAGGTCACTGGCTGTCAGTTTCAGAATTTAATGTGAATGCCATGAAGACCTCAGTGGACCTAAAGATGGGTTCTCCCTGCCAAGTAGCCATAGTCTGGCTGGCTCCTTCATGTGTTAAAAATCCTGCCCAGATCAGCAAAAATACTTAGCAGACAAAGTCTGTAGAGAGCTAGATCTGGGCACCTCCTTTAGCATCTTCCTTTTTAAATATAGCATCGGTGTTGGACCCGTTTTTAAATATAATGGACAAGCTCCCCCCTATATTACATTTGGGAAAAGCTGAACCTTTTGTCTCTAGGCCCTCTGTTTTCTCTATGTCTGATTTATGCTCTAGGATGACTTTGTCGATAGCTACAGCAATGGAAGTTTCTGGTTCCAAGGGCAGCATGAGCTGGCACATAGATGGCTAATGGAAACTGTTATTGATTAAGCTCTTTAAGGAACTTTATACCAATGAGTGGCTCAAGGCATTCAACTCCCAAAGGTAAAAGAACCAGCAAACTTTGCACGGTAATATCCGTTCCTGCTGAAAGACTGATGGTAAGTGCAGCTCTAAAAGCTACAGGCTTATTAGCAGTCAAAAGGGATATTTCTAGGAAGGAAATGTTGATGTCTTTTAACCTTTTGGAACCTATGAAGACAGCCTGCTGCGTAGCTGCTTTTATCTTGGCCTTTTCAAAATACATTCTTTTCAAATGGGTCTGAGGGAAGGCTAAGAGCTTCTGCTAATGTCACATTTTCCAAAAAATAAAAATGTAAAATCTCTGCTCCACAGCCACACTTCTACACACAGTGCAGTGACTGTCTTTGTGAGAACCTGCCTTTGTCCTATACGCGGGGGCAAATGCCTCACAGCCATGCTTTGGCTTTGACTGTGAACACAGGGGGGGCCTGAACTGCTAAAAGGTGATATTTTCAGGGAGGTCAATTCTCCAAATGTACCTCCCGCAGCGTGGCAGCTCCCATGCTACACCTCTGCCCCCTCCATGGGCAGCTGCCATTTTAAGTTCCTGCAGCTAATGGTTCTTCCAAGCTTTGCTGTGGGCGGAGGGTCTCAGTTAGTGCTGCGGCGATGCTGACTACATTTCTGTGTCGCAGGTAGCTGCTGTGCCAGACCTCTGGCATGGCCTGCTCGTGCGTAAGTTACGCCTCTGCCCACAGGCTCCATGCCTCAGTCATCACAGCTCTGGGGGGGAGGGGGCGCGGTGTCAGGCGTCAGGCTGGTTCACCATGGGAGGGGGCTCTACAGTTGCCAGACCTCCAGGAATTAAAGATCGCCATGGGAGGAAACCTCCAGGAAAAGCTGGGCAACGCTGGGGGGGCCTAGGGCTGCCCCTTCCCTTTAGCAGTGTTAGCCCCTGCTAGAGCCTGGGGTGCACATGGAGCCTTTGGGGCCTAAGTGGGGGCTGGGCCCCTAGGTGCCCCTTCCCTTTAGCAGTGTGAGCCCCTGCGGGCTCCATGTGCACCCCAGGCCGTGGCAGGGGATAAGTGGGGGCTGGGCCCCTATTCATCCTGGGGCAACAAGAGGGAGTGCAGGGGCAAAGGTGGTACTACTGCACGGCCTAGGCAAGCCCCTGACACTCCCGCGGGGAGGGGAAATGGGGGGGACTGTACATGAATGACCCTTGAACTGAGCCTTCAGCCACGTCAATCCGTCCCCTCCTCCCCTAAGAATTGGGGGACTATTTCTCTTACCTCCCCTTCCCCCTGCGCGGCGGAAGGATACTGTTATGTTGCGCAGCGATCCATCAGAGCACGCGGGAGCGGAGGATGGCAGAGCGGCTACTGCTCCCGGAACTGTTCGTGCGGGGGCAGCCGCGTTCCCCACGAGCCCGCATCTGGCACGGACCCGCCTGCCGGAAGTGGCCGGGGAGGGAGCGGAAACAATGTGGCTCCTTCCTCCGCTACCCTGAAGTCCTGTTATGCCCATTGACTAGCAGCGGCGGGATGTTCACGCCGGGGGCGGAAAACTTCCTGCGGCAGGCCAGGTACGGGGGGAGCCGGCTTAACCAGACCTCACTCCGCTCCGCTAGCGACGCGGCCCCGTGTGAGGCGGGGGTCGCTGGTGGCTGGGGAAGAGGCTCCGGTCAGCCGGACGCCTGGGTTCCCTGCCGCGCGTGGGGAGAGGGGCACCAGGACGCCGGGGTTCCCTGCCGCGCGTGGGCAGATTGGCACCAGGACGCCTGGGTTGCGTGTCCCGTGTGGGGAAATTGGCACCAGGACGCCGGGGTTCCCTGGGTTCCGTGTCCCGCGTGGGGAGAGGGGCAGCCGGACGCCTGGGGTGCGTGTCCCGCGTGGGGAAATTGGCACCAGGACGCCGGGGTTCCCTGGGTTACGTGTCCCGCGTGTGGGGGTGTTGCCTGTCCCTGGTTCTGCTCAGGGCAGTGATCGCTGTGGGCGGGCAGGGGACGGGGGTTGTGTCTCGGTTGGTGAATGGAGCAACATAGTTCCCGAGGCTATGAGTGTTCCCAGCGCTTTGTGCTCCCACACTGAGGGCTCCTCAGACACTGACATCTGCAAACCCAGGGGGAAGGGGAGCGTTTTTCTCCCCGCTGTCCAGCCAGGGAGGCTGAGGCAGGGGTGTGAAGTGACTTGCCCAATCTATCGCCGCTAGAAGGGGACGCTTCAGACAGGAGGCTGCCTCTTGGAACTGGTCTCTGCTGAGAGGCTTCCAGTTGCTGACAATAGGCAGTGGGAGTGGGTGCAGCTGCAGTGCAACTGGAAACGATTCCAGATTCAGCCTTCTCAGAAGCCCTCCTGAAACCTTGCTCCCAAGGATGTGACTAAAATACTGCGCTTTCAGAGGACTGCTGAGATACCAGCAGGATGATGTGTTCAGAGGAGAGTTGCAGACATCCCTTGGGTCTTCCTAGCTTTGGCTTTGTTTTCATTCTGGCAAATGAAGGGATGAATGGCTTGTTTTGAGGAGATATTAAAGCTTTTTCCCACTTAAATTGCCAGTTTAGCAGCCATAGCTTTGAAGTGGTAGTAGCTATTTATTTCCTTTCTTTAAGGACACTTGCCATTTGAGAAGAGGCTTAGAAATTGGCTTCTTGAGCTTGAAAAGCAAATAGAAACTGCATAGCACAAAAATAAAGGGGAAATGGTTTTAAAGGAACAAACATTTCAGACAGTTCAAATCACAGAAATAGGTTTGATACCAGTATTTTGGCTTTGAGATTAACAGAGCAGTGGAATGTGGACTTATGTGTTTTTGTTTTAGACCATGGATTTTTTCTGGTTTAGGGCTTCCTAATTCCTCTGTTGCTCTTCTTCATTAGGGAGATCCAGGATGAAGAACTGAGGAAGTTTAGTTCCCGAATCACAAGCCTTCTCCAGAATCGCGACCTGGGAAATGATACCATTGACTGTTTGCAGAGACTTTTCCTTATTGTTTCAGCCACAAAATATGGCCGGAAGTGAGTGAGAGGACATGTTAAGCCCTGTTAGGCAGTCACTGTAACGGGGTATTGTCAAGAATGTGTTTCAGCATTCTATAGATCAGTACTACTACAGATCTGCCCTACTTCCTTTGTGGATTGCATTTGCAGGGACCAGAAATAGTTAATAGCTTTTTTGTATTTTAATGTATCTACCAGTATGTCACTGTACCCAGGGGTGAGTGCTATGCTCTTTTAAATCTATTACTGTCTGTTATTATATAACATCTGTATTTTTGCACCTTAACCATGAAAAGTAAATCTTGTGAAGATGGAATTTGTGTGTGTGTTTGGTTGTGGGTTTTTTTGGTCTTCTGTTTCTGTAACAGAAAATATTTTCTTAGCATCCTCTTCAGTGTATTAATCCCAGCAGCTGTGGTTCTATTAGAATATAAAATGTTGAAACTGAAGCTTGTGCTTCTCCAGTACACAGGAGATGCAAAAGCATTCTGTGACTGACAGATCAGAAATGAAGGCTGGGTGGCTGCAAAAAATTCCCTTTACTGAAAACACTGTGCTAGTTGCAGATGTTGAAATCCAGTCCACTCTCTTGCCCCTTGCAAACTAGAGATCCTGTCCAGCTCCTTTTAAAGTAAGTGGAAAAAATTCCCTCTGACTTTGTTAAGAATTGGATCAGGCCTTATTAAAGGAGTGAGATTCAGAGATGCTCAGACTGAAGAGGTTGAGTAAGATGAGATTACTTAGGGACAGCCTCAAAGAAGACACTATATCAAGACTGTCAAATAGGAATATAAGTAAACGTTCTTATCCTCTTGTTTTCTTTCAGTGATGCCTGAATGACTGGTTTTTGTTTGTTTTATTTTATTTTATTTTTATTTTTTTTGTAGGTTGGATGGCAAATTTGTAGAGCTGTTGCAGAAAGTACTGTGTTTGCCCAAGTGTCCTGAGCAGATTCAGGCTCTGTGTGCTGCCATCTTGAGAGAGATGTCACCCAGCAATTATCTGATCCTATCCTGCGATGAAATCCAGGATGCAAAGCTCTTGAGTCTAGTGTCCTCCATCCTCTTGGCTCAGGTAGATGGACTGTGCTGTCAGGAATCTTGCCTAGACTTCATCACCCCTTCACTTAACTCAAGGGGAGTAAAATTTACTTACAAGTATATAAATAAGAACAGAAGGAACTGCAAGTAAATTAAGAAGAATAGTTTATGCCTTGTTTGGAATCAAATGGTAAAGTTTTCTGTGTATTCAAGATTTGATAATGAGCTATTTAAAATCAACATGTGCATAGCGTGAGGGGATGAGAGCAGTGGGCTCTGTGACCTGGGGAGCGGGAAGGAACCTTTCAGTGCAAGCTCCTGTAATAGAGTTCAATCTATTGCTGCTCATGCCCGCAAAGGAAAGGATTGAAAAGTGAATTTATTGTGGCTTCTAACCTCTTTATGGTGCTGGTTTTTCATAACATGTAGAGGTCTGCTTGGCCTAACTTTAAAGCCTGAGCCAAGCACAGCTGATCCCAGCCCGACGTTAGAGTGTTGAGTCATTGTCAGAATTGAACCAACCTGAACCTACACTTCCCCCGCAACCTGTGTAAGTGCTGCCACTGCCTCGTCCTTGGGACTTGGCTTGATGGTGGCTCCCCGAGCCCACTATCCATCTCTCCTGCCCATGGTGGTGAAGGGTGATCAGTAGCAGTTGCATGCCATGCTCCTGCTGGCCATCCCCAACTTGCTGCGCTGTGTGTGCTGCAAAGTGAGAGGTGCTGCAACTCCTTGGCCTGCTCATTCTGCAGCATGCACAGAGTGCAGCAAGGTGGTGGTGGCTGGCAGTAACATGGCACACAGCTGCTGCTAACCCCAAGGGCAGGTAGAGGTGGTCAGAGATGACCCAAGGCGGAGCGGAGGGTTGTTTTCACTTGTTGTCAGGTTCGGGTTGTGTGCAAGGCTCTAATGTACTTTTACTAGGGAAAATAACTTATTTATAAAGCAGAAAGCAGTTGCATAGTTTCCCCAGAAAGCAGTTGCATAGTTAAAATGTAAAAATTCCAAAATCTAAAACTGGCCTCTCATCTGTGTATTTACCCTTGAATTAGAAACCAAACGATAACACATTTTTTGCTCTATTTTGATGTTGCTAAAGCTTTGATTTGGCAGATTTAGTGCTGCTACGGCAACTCATTGTAGCAGGTGGCACTAATGAGCAATGTCCCACTTGATGTAATGAAAGTGGGAACTGTTCAGCAGAGCCCTTACAAAAAGACCCTCCTATCTTTCGTTCTTGCCTGTCAATGTCTCCTTTAGATGGGTTCTTCCTCTAACTGCAAGGAAATGAAGTGGATGTGGGAAGTGAGTCACTCATTCTATTTGCCTACCTGTCATTGCAGCTCTGTCAGTCCCGCGTACTTTGCCTGAGACATGTAGCTTTCCAGAGCTTGTAGCCTTACTGTTGCCTCAGAAAGAGGCAGCTGCAGCAACTTTCTTCCCTGGCTTCTCTGCCTCTTGGTCTTCTGCTTTTGGGAGAGTAGACTAGCAGATGTAATTTTAGACATTGGACATTTCTAACAGGTGAAGAGCAGATCCTCTAAGTGGCATGTAAACTTGTTAAAAGCTGGAAATCTGCCACTGATCATCATTCATTCATGCTTCTCTCTAGAAAGCAGGCAGGGCTCCTGGAGGTGCATGTCAGCAGCATGACGACATGGTTCCTTCAGTTCCCTTTGTGTCACATTTGTAACCCAGGAGGGATGAAGTGTCCTCGTACCATTTTCCTTTACTGTAATGATCCCGAAATCATAAGCCTCTTCTTTAATGTGTTTCTTTGCTCCATCTGTCCATGTGTGTGGGGAGGCGGGGAGGGGAGGAGGGTGTATCTATTTGTATGTTAACAGCATTACTAGCCTTGAGTAGGGTTCCCAAGTGCATCTCCCTCACCTCTAGAAAGTTGTGTAGCTCAACACCAAATCCCTTGCTTTTTCCTAAGTAGGGCACACATCTGATAACTAGTGGACAAGGTCATGCCACAGGTTGGTGTTGATTTACATCTTTCCGACCAAGAGGATGAGGCAGCCAGCTGGGGAGACTGTCAGAGACTCTGAATACTCAAATGGGTTTCAGTTTCTCTAGCAGGATGGCTTTGGAGGAGGAAGAGAACCATTTTCTACCACTAGGGCAGCCTCTCGAAAGGTTTGGTATCTGCCTGTCATCCCAAAGGAGGGGTAATCTTTGTGGGAGACCCAGGTCCCCTGACAATTCAGTCTAATTATGTATCTTAAACCACATCAAGACTGTCAAAACAGAGAGTGTTTTATTCTCCTTATAGGTGCCAGCTAACTAGGCATGTTGGAACATGTTTCATCAATCTGACTCAAAGCCACAAGCCTTGCGTTTAAAAATCATACTGGCAAATTCACCACTAGGGATTATATGGAGGAGTTAGCTCTGTTGGTTGCCTCTCCATCCATGCTGGATGAATGTAGCATTGTATTTGAAGGGTGTCCGCTAAAGCCACTTTTGGCAAATAAATTCAACTTTAAATTGTGGCTGTCCACAAACTTGTTGCTTCATCCGATGTTTTCTCCATTGGGAACTGTGGCTTCAGCTTGTAGAAGAGATCTGTGGACTATGGTAAAATAGATGCACTCAGCACCAGAGCAGAGAGGCTCTCATCTAAGCGTTTGTAAAGCTGAAATCATTAAAATCTCAGTTGCAAATGGTCATCTTGTTTTAATCTTTGCTTCATTTTAAGGGAAATAAAAAGGCTGAGGTGTTAGCAGTGGGGCAGCGTGTTGTAAAAGTCCTGGAAGGGCGACTGCCTGAGGGTCACAGTTCACGGCACCTTCTTCCTCTACTCTCCAAAATCATCAGTCTATCGCCAGCAAGCCTAACTGAAGGTAAATGCAAGAGGGTCCTAGAGACCCACAGAGAATGAACAGATCACAGTCACGCAGCATGGTGATAAAGAGAAGGGTCTTTGAAGGCTTAGACCAAGAGTATGACTTGGGATACTTACAAATTGCCATTATAAATGGCACCTATATCCCAGGGAAAGTGAAACTCTGATCCATTGAGGATCATTATCTTCTTTGTTCGATGCTCTCGAGTGTGCTAGGCGCCTCACGGGACAGAAAGACACTGGCTCTTTAGGCAGAGAGATCTTTGCTATAGCACTGGGGCCTCTGAGTGCGATTGCAATATAAATATGTACCCTGAGGAGCTTGGGGTGGGGGCGGAAAGGCTTACATGGCTCCCCAGTTTGCGTCTCTCTATTTCGTGAATACAGAAGAACAGCCAGTTCACTTTTCATAGGTTTCCTGGTAGAGTGGGATTTGGAGTGGCAGAGAATTTGAAAGGTGGGGATGATGAAATTTGGGGGGAGGTGATGGCCTGATGAGTAGGCTTTGGGAGAGCATTCCAGTCATGGAGGGCTCGATGGAAAAAGGTGCAGAAATACTCTTTTGAAAAGGAGATGCTGCACTGTGCTGCGACAAGGTTTGGGAATTTGCTCAGAGATTTGCGCTCCTTGGACAGAGACTGGGGGAGGCTGGAAGGAGGATGCTGGAATGGAATATTTGCCTTTGCCTGGGATGCAGCACCACTTCCCTGGGCTTCTGCTACCTTCAATAGGATAAAACTGTATAGGGGATATGCATTTTCATGCTACAGCCTCAGACTAATCACAACTCCCTGAATTAGGGAAAAAACATCCCCCACAGACAGGTTATTCCATTATTGTCCGTTACATCATCTGATAGCTGCTGTTGGGGACAGGACTTGGGAATAGATGTACCATTGGGCTGATCTGTATTACAAATCCCAGGTGCCTGTGCTCACTTTCTGACTTCAGGCTGAAGAATTGTGCAGAACATTGGTGAAATTAAATATAGCATTGAACAGGAGTCGGGGGTGGGGGAAAGGCCAGGGAGTGGGAATCGTATACGGAGCTGTGAACGGAATACAAAAGATGCTGGTCTCTGAGCTTGTGTAAAAGTAGAAGAACCAGAGTGTGAGTGTGAGTGTGTGTGAAAATCACCTACAGAGTTTGACTGGGGGAATCCCTTTGCTCTGAGAGTTGCTAAGAGCTGGACTAGAGTTCTGCTGGCAGTCTTGGGCTAGGTTTAAAGTATACCAGTTCGGGAGCAGTTTTTAGTGACTAGTGTGCTGCAGAGGCCTCTTGCTATGATGAGTCTAAACCTTACCTGCATTGCTTTCCATCTGTAGATCAGACCAATCTGGTCAATAAAAGGATGGTGGACTGGCTGAGATACGCAAGTGTTCAGCAAGGAGTTGCACAGCCCTCTGGAGGCTTCTTCTCCAATCCCAGGGCAAGGCAGGTGAGTGATGAATTCCAGAGACCCTCACAAAGGACCTGGACCATGTCATGTCACCTCCCCACCCCACCCTTAAAGGCTCCTGAACTCAGGTCATTTTTAGGAAAGGTGATCTAGAAGTGCTGCTGTTCTTAGCCAGCTGGACAGCCAGTGGGTGCAGCAGTCAGGCACCTTGGGCATCAGAGTTTGGATTTCAAACTCCTAGGCTAGTGGGAGTACAGAGACAGAAGGTTTAGCCCCAGGGAGAGGTGGAAGAGAGCATCTTGCAGATTTTGGTGACCACACGGACATGTGTTGAGAACCATTTATCTTGAAACGGAAGGTTGCTGAAATGTGGCTTTTGAGGGAGATGGGAAATAAAAGGACTTTGAGGGCCCCTCCCATGGAAAAAGACCTGCACCTTCCCATCCTGGGCCTCTGGTTGTTATGGAGGGCCCCATCTTCTACATACATGTAAACATACAAACCTGTTCACTGACTCAGTTCATGTGTTTGGTGAACTCCACTTCCCCTCTCCCCAACAATCTCTACCTCAGGAAGTCCCACCCCTTCACCCAGTTTATCTTCTAATTCCCAGCCTGGCCCTATCACAGAGGTGGATGGTGCAGTTGCCACAGACTTCTTCACAGTGCTCTCAATTGGTCAATATTACACAGAGGACCAGTGGCTCAACATGCAGGCCTTTTCCATGCTGCGCAAGTGGCTGCTGTGCTATGGGAGCGAGGGGGCAAACAGCCCTAATTCAGGTACTGGCTTGGTGCGCTGGGTGTGTGCCTAGAGGCTGGGGTTGAGTATTGTATTACATCCCGAGTGGGACGTGCTTCCTGATCTAGTCCTGAAAGGGCATCTGGTGGCTTCACCATGAAACCACCATTTGGTTCAGTGTGTTTGGCACTGTCTCCCCAGTTGCTGCCCGAGTTGGTCCAACAGAGGGTTGTGGGTTGGAATTGAGGGTCCCTGAATTCAATAGCTGGGGATGCCAGAGCTACAACTGTTGTGAAGGAAATGTCACAGTGGGCCTGCTGAATGACCATGGTCTGATGTGCCAGAATGAACCAAAAGAAATGAAGGGCAGGCGTGGAGATAGCATCCCCTTAGGTGCTGTCGTAATGTTCCCACAGAATGTTCCAAGAGAATGTTCCCCTTGGACTGGAATCAGATACCACTTCCCCTCTGTGACATACCAGGGTACAATCCAGACCAGTGAGTAGCTGTCACCCCTGCCCTGCAATCCGGGGTGTCCTTTACAGTGCCTTGCTGCTGTAGCCTCCAGCCTGGACTGCCCCAAACAGCCTCCAGCATGTAAATCACTCCCTGCTGTGAGTGTGTGTGTGTTGCAGTCAGCCAGCCACACCTTGGCTCTGACCACCTTTGGTTATGCTGCAGGGTGACCCCAACACACCCCTGGTCCCAGATCTTTACCCACAAATGTATATCCTCTGCTGCCCAGCCCTCTCCTGGGCAGTACAAATATGTGAAGTCCGTTATTCCTTTAAGATATGCACATAACTTGTTACCTCAAATGGAGTTATCCTGACACTTCAATCTGAACTCACTGGATTAGATAAAACAGTAAAACAAGTTTAACAACTACAAAGAGAGAGATTTTAAGTGACTACAAGTAATGAGGCATAAAAGTCAGAAATGCCTCTGTTTAAACTTCCTTTGTTTTTCCTCTCTGCTTGCTGACTCTGTTTACTGTTTAAATGCAAATTAAGGCAAGCACACATTTCTTTGTGTAGGACAGACCTGACTTCTGGTTGGGCTGTGGGGTTCGGAGCATGTGCTGATAACATCATACAGGGGAATCTTATAACTTCACAAACAATGTTGCCACACATATTTTACCAGGACAATACTGATCAGCAAATTACGAGTTTTCAGACGATCCCTTACAAGGCATGTTTGTACAAAGATTATTACCACAGTGTGTAGGGTGTGAATACAGGGGTGTATTCCATTGTACCGTCTCTTCCCCCATGGTGAGCTGGGCAGTTTGTAAAGTCTCGTTCATAGGTGAAACGCTCAAACAGTACCGTGCAGTGTGTGATCTGCGATGATCTCTTCTCTGCAGATGACAAATCAGAGGTAGATGGGTCTATCATGTCCATGGTCTCTGCTACCTCCACCTCCAGTCGCCTGCTTCCTCCAAAGGAGCGTTTAAGAGAGAAGGCTTTTGAATACTGCCAGCGGCTTATCGAGCAAAGCAACCGGCGTGAGTTGTGGTCTGAATATGTAGGACTCTCGTCAGAGCCCCTCAGGGTCATTCTTAATCATCTTGCTCAGTCTCCTGCTGGGCCGGGGGCACAGTCCCCACTGGTCTGAGACTAGGCCCAAGAATCTATTCAAGCCGCCTGCTAGGCCATGGCTCTGGCTTGGAGTCACTAACTGACTCCCTAGTGTCTGGGGAAGCGGAGGAAGGCATCTGAGCTGAGACTCCCTAGAGAGATTAGCTGGGGATGGGAGAAGTTGCTTGCTAGCTCTCAAACATCACCTGGTTCTATTGCCAGACTCTGTGTTCTACCTCGTGCTGTTGATTTGCTTTTGGAAACTGTTGACACTGGGGTGTGGATTGTCTTGACTGTAACTGCTCAGAACTACCTGAGTTAGGAGGGTCCACGGCTCTTCCCCACCATCCTTAATTCTGGGCCGTCTCTTCCACACGTGGAGAGGGCTGCTGTGTGTTCGATAAGGATGCACTGTGTTTTGTGGAGGTCCAAGAGGGCTCAGTTCATCACATTGGTTTTGCTGGCTGAAGGGCGAGCTTCCACTGATCTAACAATGGACTTGACAGCGTTAAGCCATTCCCAGTAGAGCCCATGCCAATACCAGCAGCATTGCCCAGTTTAACAATGACAAATACCCAGTGTGGACCAGGGGACTGAGTTTGATTTGTTTATCTGTCAGGGGCCCTGAAGAAACCAGATGGGGACCTGCAAAAAGCCGTAAGTACACAAGGGGCAGGGGGGAGGGTGGGGGGGAGGATTTGTTTGCACAGTTCTGATCTTGCTGTACTTTCCCGTGCAGTGTCTCATCGAGGCTGTCACTATCATGGATATTATCTGCAGGCAGGACTCCTCCTATGTGTACCGGACGCTCTCCTGCCTGAAGATCTTGCATGGCAGAATCAGTGGGGACCTCGCTTATGCCAGGGCACTGCTGCCTATTGCTCAGTTCTTCCTGAACCACAGTAAGCTGACAGTGCACATGGGCTGTCCTCTCTAGAGCTGCTCAGACAGGGATTGCTGGGGGTTGGGATGTTGTTTCTGTTGCGCCCCCCACCCCCAGCCTCCATAAGCTTTGGGAATCTCTGTGGTACCTGTGCGCTCACTCAGGCCTCTGTTTGAGAGGCAGGATTGGATCAGTAGGCACAGAAATACTCTTCCTCTCCATGGCTTCCTGCTACTCTCTAGCTTTGACCATGTGTTAGGCTAGTGTATCTAACGCTGCACTGTCTCAGCAATGCTGGACCGGCTTTCTTTCTCTGTGCCTCCCCAGCAGCAGTTGCTGCTTGCATGGCTTTGAACATGCTCTCAGCTGGGCTCCCCAGTGCTGGAGATCCAGGAGTTGCACTACCGCCCTCTCCTATTGCGCTTGGTCTTGATGTTACAAAAGCCACTCTGTAAAAATCTCCAGCCCTTGAAGGGTGGCTGCTGGGTGGGCTGAGGTCCTGAGTGTGCCTTCCTTCCCAGGTGAGACAGCAGCGGTGGATTCAGAGGCAGTTTACAAGCACTTGTTCACCAGGATTCCTGCTCAGCTCTTCCACAGCCCAATGCTGGCCTTTGAGTTTATCCAGTTCTGCAGGGACAACGTCCAATTCTTCACAGAGAACCTCAGCATCTTCAGACGGAGCTTCCCAAACCTCTTCAAGGTACGGGGGCTGGGGCTGGTTCAAGCACTGCTCTTCATGCACGTGTTTCCTTGGAATGGAAGCCCCTAATGCTCAAGGAGGTGGCTGTACACCAGTGGTGCCTAAACCTGTCGCACTCCCCCTTACTATTAATGGAATCTGTCTGTGCCCCCTCTCTACAGCTGCACAGTTGGCTCAGCGGAGGAGCTGGGGATGGGGGAGGAGCCGGAACTAGAAGTGGAGCTGCGGCTGAGGCAAGAGCTGAGCTGGGGGTGGAGCAAAGCTGCAGCTGGGGACAGAGCTGGGCCGGGGTGGAGTGGAGCTGGGGCAAGAGCTGAACTAGGGGTGGAGTGACTCCTGGGGGAATTCTGCCTCACTGCGTTTGCGCAGAATTCATGGCCCCCGCAGATTTTTTTGCTTCCCTGCAGAAAAATTACTTCTGACAGGGAAGCAAGGGGAAGCTGCAAGAGCGGTCATGCACCCCTCCCCAGCAGTGTAGGCAGGTTGGTTTGGGCGCTCAGAGTAGCTGGTAGAGACATAAATCGCCACTGGGGCAGGGCAGTCATGCCTGTGTCCCTCTCGCTCACTATTGCGGCATGCTCGGCGTGAAGGGGCAGGGCTTCGGGATGTTTCTGAGGAGGTAAGTGTGGGGCAGGCTCTGTCCCTCAGGCAGAGCAGCATGTAGCAGCCTGCCTGCTTAGTGAATTTTTCCCATTGTTCTTAGTGAATTCCCCCAAGATTATAAAACAGGTGTAAAAATTTTAAGGCTCTTTTACATTGCCAGAGTGGTGTAAAGGAGCCTTATTATAAAGGACAGTGTGACCTTATAAATGCTTATGGTGCTTTAGTGATTAGAACTGGTCTACGTTTTTGCACTGAAAAAATTTCCTATCAAAATGTGCTCTATGAACTGTTTGCTACTGACCTTTCTGGAGATGGTCAGTAGCCAATGTGAATTGCGAGTTTGAGTCCCCAGCCCTCACTTGCTCTTCAGTTGCCTCTGATGTAACACTGAGCATATGGCTGCATATATTTATTGACTAATAACTAGAAGTGAAGGATCAATACTAGCTACATTACTATTAGACAAAGGGCGTTCGGGGATTTTCTCCACTCCCATTCTCCATCCATTGTATTATAGTTTAAATAAATTACCAAAATAATTGAAACTAGCATGATTATATTGCATTATTTTAACAAATAAGATATGCAGAATTTAAAAATATTTGTGTGCAGAATTTTTAATTTTTTGGCGCAGAACTCCCCCAGGAGTATGAAGTGGAGCTGCAGCTGGGGCCGGGGCGGAGCAGGGTGTGGAGCGGAGCTGCGTCTGGGTGATGCTCCCGCCCTGTCCCCCGTAGGGGCTGGCCAGGCTCCGCTGTGTGCCATCCCCAACATTTCTCCACACGCTCCACAGTTTGGGGCCCATTGCCATGCACGTATGACAGACAGGCTGAGGCGTGGAAGGACTCATCAGCAGTTTAAAAGCATGTGTGTGGTGGGGGATTAGTTCTGGCTATGTTTACATGGTTATTTAGGGCATGAAAGGCTGTGAGTAGCATCTCTGATCTGGAGGCATCAGGGTGTGTAATACAGTAGTTGGGGGTGGGCAAGGGAGTAAGGGCTTGGCAACCAAACTGCAGCAGAAAGGGTGTCAATGGGCTCTATCCCAGGGGAATGACTGTGTTGTGGGATGGAGTAGTTCCTAGTTTGTCCACAGCACCCTTTAATTCCCTCATTGGAGTCTGACGACACCCAGGGCAGCAGGGCCTGGTTGGGGCAGGGGTTAATTCTCCTGCATTAAGGCTAGGGACTCAAAATTGCTAGTTCTGAGATCAGCCCCAGTGCAGGTGGCCTCCGGGAGCTCCTGTGTCATCCTTGCAATCCCCCTTTTTGGAGCCTGTGGGGTCAATCCAGCTCTCTGCTGGGCCAGCCTGAGCGCCTTTCGAAGCAAATGCTCCATGCGGTGAAACTTGCTGTGTTGGTTTGTGAGAGACTTGGATCATCCGCTTCTAAATGTTTCGCTCTGGCTGTGGGGTCTCAGAGCTGAACTGCCCCGGCACTCCACAGTTCTGTGCATTTTGTTCCTCTCCCTGTGCCCCTGTAACTTCCGCTGTGACATGCTTTGCCTTCTCTGAGGTGGGAGAATCCAGCCCGGTTATGGGGGGAGGTGGTGGAGAAGCAGCCCTACTGCTAGCTGCTTGTGAAAGTCCCTGCCTGTTTTTCCCTGCAGCTCCTAGCATGGAATAGCCCAGCCTTGATCTCTGAGTTCATGGACCTTCTGCCAGCTCTGCTTGGTGCAGACACAGCCATCGAGATCTTTCACTTGCTGCTTGACCTGCCGTGTTTGGCGGCTGCTCTGGACATCCAGCTGAGGTGACGACATCTTCCCCTCCTCCCTCTTTAGGAGGGCGTTGACGTTGGGCAGTGTCCTGACCCACTCTTTGAGCCAGAACTAACTGCTTGAAATGGCTGCCCCACACCCAAAGAAGAGCCACGTCCGCATCAGTTCAGAGCAGCAGCTACCATAGCTGGATTTATATGAGGCTGCGAAAGCACCTGACCAATAATGTTTGTAGTTCTGCTGCATGTGCAAAGATAGGGACAGTCAGGTCTCATGCTTCTGAGCAGTAGGCTGACTGTTGTTAGGGGTCAGGAAGGAATTTCCCTCCCTTCCCCCATGGCCACCTCTGAGCAATTGGTAGGTGTCCGTCCCTCTGGAGCACGTGGTATTGGCCACTGGCAGAGAGAGGATGCCAGAACTGTTGGTCTCGGTTAGCCAGTCTTACATTTAGGCTTGGAAGGATTCGATTTGTATTGGTAAACGTTGATTTCATCATAGACACAAACTGATGAAAAAAATATTTCCATCGATGATGATTGAAATTTACAGATAGGCAAGGTCAGAAAAATGCCCCTTGATTAGAGTTTAAGGATATTTACAGTGTATATTTTGTGTTTTGACGGTTATAACGCTGTAACTTTTTGAGCCTCCAACATGTCAATAAGTAATTATTATCTGGCCACCACCCATAATTTCCTGCAACTGTGAAAATTTGAATGGATAAAAATAAAAAAAAAATAAAAAAAAGGCTTAAAACTAAACATTGATATTCTCCATCTCAGTGATTAGAAAATAAAAATTCTGCCAGGCCCACTTATGTCCTGCCCTGTTGCCCTTGTTAGCTTCTCGGGCAGACATGAAGTTCAGATTCTCTCCTGGGGGGGTCATGTGAGAATGGAAGGGAACTCTAGGGAGCTGGCTTCCTGCAGAGAGGGAGCTGGGGCTCGCTACCCCACACATGGAAGGGAACCTAGGGAGGCTTAGAATGGAGCTGTGTGCTGGCAGAGGGGACTTCGGTCATTATGGAGCACTGGGTTTGCTGGGCATTACACCGTCCTCTGCCAGGGCATGCTCCTGAGCCAGCTGGGAGAGTAGCATCATGCCTAGCTGCTGAGGGATGGTGCAGTCTGCCTGGGCTCCCGTCTGTTACCCAGCATTTCTTATACACAGGTTCCTGCTTTTTTACCCTGTTGCTGTTCTTGTTCTGAAGGCCCGAGAACCATTTCACTGTTGGGAACTATTTGAATTAAACCTGCAACTTTTCTGGGGGGTTGATCAGCTATTGGGGCCCTTCCGCCTTGACATTCCTCTAACTGCGACCTAGCCAATTTGCTGCTGTGTTCCCATTACTTCAGTTTGTGTTGTGTGTGTCCGTCACTAGATCTGCCTCTGCTCCCATCTCGGAGAGAGCCACCTGGGATCCTGCTGCCAAGCCAGCCAGCTGCCTGGAGGCCTTCCGCCACCCGCTCTACAGAAGCACCTTTCAGTATCTCCTCCGGATTGAGACCGCCCCCAGAGACTCCCCTGAGCGGTACGAGGCTGCAGCCAGCGTCCGGTTCAGCTGCATGGGGGTGCTGTGACTCCCCGTCTCACAGCTGCCTCAGGTCTGTGGGTTCCAGGAGGCGGAAGCAGCACGGCAGTCAGGGCTCCGTGCAGAGGAAGAGCTGGGGTTGCCGTGCACGGCTCGTGTGTACGATCACAGGCTGGCTCCTGGATACAGGCACAGCTGGAATGTGGCACACGTCTCCCTCTCCTCTTCAGTTTTGCCAGGTGTTCAAAAGCTGAAGGACGTAGTGAGGAAAAGGGCGGGGCTGGGAAGCCGGGATTCTTCAGGGAAGCTGCTTTGATGGTGATATTGGGGTCTGTTGTCAACAGGTTGGCTCCTCTTCGCCAGCTGCTGGGGTCCATGGCCAGCTGTCCCCGGGTTGTGCAGTGTGCAGACACCATCCCTGTCTTACTGCGGCTCTACTTCCGTGTGGTGGCAGAGGTAGGGCTCCCTGCAGGCAGCTAACTGGGGAGTTCACGTCCTGTGTGTTGCTGTCTCTGGTGTTCCCTTTGTCATGGGAAGAATATCCATGGGAACCAAAGGGTTAAACTCCCTCTGGCTTGGGTTCTGGCTCACTCCGGGAGGGTGCCCTCTTCCCTTTGCTCTGGGCCTTAATGGGGGGTGAAAATACCCAGGACCCTGAATTTCCCAGAGTGGGTGTAAAGGGAATTCCTGGGATTGTGGGGGGTGTTTCTCTAGGGAGTGAACCTCTCGGAATAGGCTGTGGCTGGGCAGGCTCCTTTCGTGTTAAAGGGCCTTTGCTGCAGTAGCTCAGCATGGTTTGAAATCCTTGCCAGGCTGCTCCCAGCAGCAGCTGCTGACCAGTGAGGCGTCTCCAAGTGTGGGCAGCAGCAGGACAAGTGCAAGGCTCTTGCCCAACACCCTGTGTCACTCGGGTCAGGCTGCCAGGCTCCTCCAGGCATCCCCTCTGGAGTGGCTGGGGGCTGTGGTGTTGCTGAAGGAAATGCTTCTCCATCTCCAGTTTGCAGACGGGCCTCTGATAAACCAGCTGGTGTTGGTGCTGCTGGAGAGGAGTGAGCAGCTCTACGAGATCCCGGCGTTTAAGGCCGATGTCCATAGGTGAGTATGGGCGCCTCTGAGAAGGGGGGAGAGTGGATGGAATTGCCAGGAGGAGGGTTACACAGCACACAGCCCTCAGCCCCGGTCTGGCTTTCCAAGGGTAGCCGGGAACCAGCCGTGGCACGATCCCTGCGTGGCCTCTCTTCGGAGGGCACGGTGACATGGTGCCCTGCGGGTGGCACGCGTGGAGGGAAATCAACAACTCCCTCTCTTTGGTCACGAAAACCATGTGGGTCACAGGCACTTGGACACCAGAGTCTTGGGGATGAGCCCTCTGGACAAACAGCTGCAGGGAGCTCCCACCCCTGACGACAGTGACTGGAGCCACTGGGCACTGCAGTCAGGGCTTTGATGTCATGCACACCCTGATCACAGCACACTGAGGCACTTGTTTGCCATTCACACACGTGCACTCACTGGTCGTCACTGTGCAGACTCTTGTCTGGGGGCGGGTTCCTCCCTTACTAGTGGGCCACTGGGGTTACCTAATCTGGTGAGCAGCCAGCTCTGATCTCTGTGGTGCCAGGCAGTTGGTTGAGCCCAAACTCTGGGGATGGAACTCATGCTAGGGAGGGATTCTGTGTAACTCTGTCCCTCTGTCTGTGTTGCTGGGCAGGTCACTAAAATGAGGTCTGCCTAGTGCAATAGGGCTTGATACTGCTCGAGGCCCTGGGCGCTGCCATAACAGAAATACTGAATCTCGCTGCTCTCCTCTGTCGAGCACTTTCAGATCTGTGGGTGACAAGTGGTCTGGAGGTGGTGTCTGTGTTCCCGAGCTATCGCCCTCTCCCTTCTTCCTGGCAGAGTGCTGAGCTCCCAGCTGGTGCTTCTGTGTAAGCTGCACCCCTCCCTGGTAGTGGAACTGTCCAAGGAGCTTCTGGAGTTTTCAGGAACTGTCAGCAACATCCGGAACAAAGAGGATATCTTCACCTACGTGGTAAGGAGCCAGCCTGCCTGCCTCTGATACCTGTAGCCCCCTCTGCAGGCTACTAGGGGACTCTCTTCACAAACTTCCTCCTTGTCCTCTCTACCTCTGGTGCAAGCTAATCTCATCTGTCACGTCCTTAGACTGTTCTCCATGGTGTCTATATACCTCTCTGCCTGTCTTGCTGCAGGTCTGGGCTATTGGAGAGTACATGTCTGTCTCATACGACAAAAGGTGCACCGTGGAGCAGATCAACAAGTTCTTCGAAGCCCTGGAGGCCATGCTGTTTGAAATCACGCAACTCCGGCCCTCGGCCAGCATCCCCAAGTATTCGCCACGTGTCATCACGGTTCTCATGACGACGCTGACCAAACTGGCATCACGCAGCCAAGATTTGATCCCCAGGTGTGAAACAGGGCAGCAGGTCAAGGTTAAGTGTGCAGTTCAGCCAGGTTACCAAGCAAATGTTCGTTGCTGTATTCCTGCTGGCTTAATGAAAAACCCAGGAACTGAAACAAGGCAAACTGTGAAAGCAATAGAAAAGTGTGATCGGGGGAGCCCAAATTATAGCTAGGCAACCATCTTGTGCATGTGTCTGGGTAGTGGTTGGCGAGACTAGTGTACTGTAGGCAGTGTGTAATCCCAGCCACTCCCAGTAGGAGGCACTGAAGGGAGTGAGGTGACACTGTTACTGTTGAGGAAGCCCTCAGCTGTTCCCATCCAAGCTTTACCCAGCAGGTGTTGGTGACAGAGAGGATGTGGTTCCGGCTGGAGGGTGCTTTCACCTGTAGGCTCTCTCTAGGGAGTGATGTAAGAGTGGTGGTTTTGAGGCAGGAGCTTTATGAATCTAGAGCTGTTCTCTTGAAGCTCCCGCTGGCTCAGGGCTGTGTCCTTCCCTCCTGCAGGATGTCCCTGTTCCTGTCCAAGATGAGAGCGTTTGTTCAGAGCCCGGCCATGGCCTCGGTGTACAGCGAGGAAGACAATGAGGAGATCCTGACCCGGGCCGCTGAGCTGATGAACCTGTTGAAAATGCCCAGCGTGGCTCAGTTTGTGCTGACGCCATCAGCGGAGGTTGCCAGCCCACGGTTTCACCGAGACACTAACGTGTCCCTGCCTCTCGCCATGAAGACGGCCAGCCGGCTGTTAGAAAGGGGGACTGGCTTCGTGCCAGGGTGAGGTGCTGGCAGTTCTGAGTGTACGCTGCAGAGCTCTGACTGACGAGACCTGGCTGGCTCTGTGCTGTATTTTGACTAACCTGCTGCTGCTGACTCTGCGTAACGGAACATGGGGAAGGTGGAGGGATGAGGCTGTGCTCCAAGCTGCACCTTCCTGGAAATGGGCAATAAAGGACGGCAAAGAGGAATAACCAGAGCCGACCGTTTCTGTCTTCGAGCCTGACCATGTGGTTTGTGTCTTTCCTCTCGTGGGTGGCTGTTCTGCCCTCGGCCCCTGCAGCAGGAAGTGTTTCCACTGACTCCTCTCGATGTTCCCACAGTGGGACTCGGGTCCTGGCCCGCCCGGGGAGACCAGTGACATCACCCCCATGAGACAGGAGCAGCTCACTCACTCCGCATGCACCCCAGACAGACAAACCCAGAGATACAGGGGAAGGGCGCTGGCTAGTGTATGTGAATTGGGGTTTTCCTGAGGGGCATCTGCTGGAGGGGCCCAGCCTGCTTCCCTTCACAGCCCATGGCAGCAGCCAAAGGAGCTGTGGGCTGGAAGGGTCTGAAAATCCAGAGGGCCGTCTCCAAAGCAGGTCCCTTGAGGGGCACTTTGCCCTGTCCTACCACTCAGCTATTATGTCGTCTTTTCCTTCGCCTTTGCTCTGACTGCATTGCGACTCCTCCTGCTGTTCCTACCCCACCTGCTCTGCTCTCCCTGCCTGTAACAGGTGCTTAGAGCAAGACGGCAAGTCCTGTGGCCAGGAAATGGTGTGAAGCGTAGGTAGCTTGCGGGAATGATTTAGGTAAGCGAGGGCCTGCCCCTGTTCCCTTTTTGCTCTAAAGTTAAACTGAACCTGGCAAGGCCTAACCAGGCTCCAAACCCCTGCCACCAGAATGGAGCTTAGGGAGGTTTTATTGGATCCAGTTTATTTTTCACACCAAGAACAACTCCGTGAACATAGCAGCCCTGTAACCGGGGGGCACTGATCTTTGTTCCAGGTCTGCACTAGAACTATATACATTGTAGAGATGTACAGTGTTAACAAGAATGGGGGAGTGGTCATGCCCCTTTCTGCTGCTGGCAGCGAGCGTGTGCCCTCCAGGGGCCCCTGACTTTGCACTCCGGCAATAGGAATATTTAGCAGAGTAAGCAGTGCTGCCTAGAGACAGTTGGGGACTGACTCCTTGGTGCTTCCCATCCAGCTGTGGAGGCTGGCTGATTCTCCTGTGGGGTGAGTTATGCTATTCTCCTTAGGGGCGGAGGGGGGGCTGCAAAGCTGGAGAGCAGTATGTGTGTGGCCTGCTTTGGTACTGCTGAATCAAGCCATAGCTGGGCCTGCTTTGTCATGCTGCAAACTCAGGCTCTTGCTCCCTGGGCTGGGACAAGCGGGGCTGCAGGGAGGATCTACATGATTCCCTGGAGGCTCGAGGGCAGTTCTTGTGCCTGTCTCTGCAGCCCTCAGCTGGCAGGGGCATGGACCGGGGGGTGCTTCCAGGGCTCAATGGAGGAAGGTCAAGCTAATGTTCACAGTTCTTTTGACCGTTAATAAGGCAGCAAGAGCCTTGAGCTGTCTTCCTGCGGTTACCTGCTTCTGTTCCAATTAAAGGGTATCTCTAGTCACTGCTGTCCAGGTGGCCTAGCCCAGGTGTTCTGAGTATGCCGCAGCACAGAAGCCAGACACTCGCCTTCTGTGGAGAGCTGCAATGGGGGTTTAGATGCCTTGCCCATGAGGCTGCACAGAACCCTGTGGCATGGCGGGTGGGCTAACCCCGCACTTCCACCTTACAGTGATTAGTTTGTGGTTTTACCATTGGCTTCAGAGGGGAGGGTTTTCTCTCTCTGCACTTGCTAACCCACACACAGAGCTCATCTCCAACAGCCTGGAAGAATATACTTGCAATTAAAACATTTCCCCACATGGTCGAGCAGCCGCCTTGCTTTGTGGTTGGCAGGAGAGAGTGGAGTGATTTGTGTGGGCTCTTGGGAATAAGCAGTTCAAGCTGCGACTGACTTTCCAAAAAGGGGGAATGTCTCTTTCAAGGCCAGACGTTGTTTAACATCAGCGGCATGGCAGAAGCAGGCAGGTCTGAGCAGCCGAGATATGCAGAAGATGGGATGGTGCATGGGAGACAGAATCAGGCCCGTGGCGCACTCCCCAGCTCTGCCTGTATGTTACAGCACTGGCTACCCCTTTTAAAACTACCTCTGATTTGGCATCCACATTCAACTACCCCCAGAGCTACTTTTAGTTCGATTTACATACCTGCTGGGGCCTGCAACTTGGCTACTAGCCATCTGACTGCTGCCCTTTCCACTTAGTCAAGTCCAGCTGCAAAAGTAGCGGTGCCTTCAAAAGTATGACCTTAGCTTTATGTGGGGGAGGTTTGACTTCTTCGCTTACTAATGAGCTACAGGCTGCCTGCTACGGATTTCTGGCTTATTCCACCAATCTAACCCTCTGCCCCATTTTTGTCCTACATGACTACAGGGGTGTTAACAGGCCGCTTCCCCTTGAATGGTTAGAATATGTGGTAAGTACTTATGCTAAACTGTCTGTTGGATCTTGTAGTTAGCAGTGCCCCTCCCAGACCTGAAGCAGAGCTCTGTGTAGCTCAACCGTTGTGTGTCTCTCTCTCTCTAACAGTAGTTGGTCCAATAAAAAAGATTGTCTCTCCAATTAGCCTGGGCTTGCCCCTGCATAGGATAAGGCATCACCCATGCAGCCAAAGAGATCACGTAAGAGCAGCCACTCTGCCTGGGTTGCAGCCATGTCTCCATTTTGTAATGGATCGCAGGTTGTACCCCTGTGAGTACTTTACCAAAGCAAGAGGTCATATTAGTTCACCTGGGCTGAGGGCTTCACAGGGTAACAGCCTTTGCCCAGGCCAATGTTGCTGAAAGCTGTTGAAGCTTCAGTGACACAGAGAAGATTTAACACTAGCTCCCCTGTGCAACAGGGCCAATGCCAGAGCAGGGGAGTGGCCCGCTCCTTGGTGGGGGACGGTGATGAGGAAAGGAGAAGGACCCTTCCAGCAGCGCCCTCTTGCCAAGCCTGGGAGCGGTTGCAGCTGCTCTCACGCTGTTTTCTCTCTGCTGTAGCCACTTTCCATCCCCAGTGCAGGGCCCAGGGGTGATGGGCCTAGTGTAACAGCAGCAAGGCACTACACTAGGGCAGGGTGAACTGACTCTCAGGCTGTGGAGGAAGTGAATGTAACACATCAGTTCCACCATGACAGCCCCACACGTCAGCTTACGGTGCTAAAGCCTGTCCTTGTAAAGTCACAGCTGGGCCTGCTACTGCCTGTGCAGCCCCCCAGTCATTTCCGGCACCCAGGCTGTTCTGTCATTTCTTAGTACGTAAAACACCCCCAACTTCGGGAATCCAGCTTGAAGGGTGAGGGGGGACATTCTGCTGCCACCTTTCACAGCCCAGCCACCCAGGAACCTCAGTTTGTAATAAACGTTCCCTGGCAGTTCTGGCCTATGATAACTGTAATTGTTATGTTAATCACTAGGTGTTCAAAATCTCCAAGGTGCCAGCGCTAGGTAACGCAATAATTGCAACAGCCGCCACTAGGGCCCCCCACTCCCAATCAGGCAAGCTCATCTACCAGCCCTGCCGTGCCCACTGAGTGCAGAGGAATGGAATAGCTTGTTCCTAACCTCGGTGGAGCCCACGAGCACCCTGACTGCCTGGAACGGGATCTCCCCTCTGCCGAGAGGAGCGTGGGGTGGGCTATGCAAACCCCATGCTGAGGCTGGCAGGGGGAAGGACATCAGTGATACAGCTGTGAGCGGAGGGGGGGTTGGATGGTAAAGCCCCCTCCCCCACTCGCTCAGCAGTGCAGAGCAGAACAGAGACCCCCAGCAGGCTGAAAAGCAAATGGAGAACAGTTCTTTAGTCCTGGAATGGTGCAATTTCAACTGGATCCTCCATGTTCCAGGCACAGTCTCTGCCCATCCCACCAGATTTCGTGTAGTTGGCCTTGGCGGCAGCTTCGTTTGCAGGGGGCCATGGACAGGCCCTTGCAACATGAGCGTTAAGAGGACGATGATGAGCTGGAGCTGATTTTCTTGGCTATTTCCATGTCGGACTTGGCAACCAGAAACCGCAGCTTCTTCCCTCCGCACCGGATGAGCTCCACGGCACTGGAGAGACCAAACAGGAACGGAGCGGTTAATGCCACGGCCCCACGCTCACTACCCAGAGTAGCGGCTGGCTGGTGTGACCCACTGAGGATCCCGCTAGTCCGCTCTTGGGCTGGCAGTCCTGCGGGAGGCTCTCCCTCGGCGCCATCCCCCACTCGCCCTCGGCACAGCAAGTGCTAGGCAGGCGTTAGAGACAAGGTCCCAAGAGCCAGGCTTTTGGGGTGCAGCTGCTTCACTGCGTTCCTCTGGGTAGCTGCTGTTGATGTTTACGTGGGGGGCGGGGGGCTTTAAAGTTCCTCATCTCCCGCACTTCTCTAACCTCCTCCAGCTCCCGAGCACTCAGGTTCTCTCCCATCTCTCCCCCTTACGCTTGCTGGCCAGCTCGCTTAGCTCTTTGTTCACAGCCAAGAAAGCCAGGAGGGGCTGAGGCTTTAATTTAATTGTCCTCGGGAAGCATTAAGTGAGGCTGGAGCCGGTGATACTCAACACGAGGCTGCTCCTTGCTCCCATTACAAGTTACCGTGTCCCCGTCCCCGTCCCCGTCCCCCCGAGCTGGATCACTGCCTGATCCCAGGAGACACACACACAACCGCTGCATGTTCGGTGCTACCAGCAGAGGTTGTTTCTCCTCTGGAATTGTTGTTAACCCCACGAGGGGCGCAGCCCGCACTGACCCCCCCAGAGCAACGTCACTTATTAGAAACAAGCATTTCCTGCAATGCCCAGAGCTGTTCTAGTCAAAATAACATCCCCCTGTAGCCGAGACTCACGCTGGAGCTTTCTAAGGGCCAGGCCAATTGCAGAGGCTGCTGCTGCTTCCAACTGAATGGACCCTGGGCCACAGTTCAACGAAATGCCACTTGAGGGGTTATCTTGAAAGCGTCGGACCAACTGGCCTGGTGGTGGCCAGGGATGGAGTGTGTCCCGCTCTAGCAGGTGGACTCCAGGGCAGGGAAATACATGGCCAGGCTGGCAGGAGAGCACTGATCTTTCACCAGACCCACACTTTTTGCCATCAGTAGCTATCTGAAACTCCTGGCTCCCCTCTTCTCTCACAAACTTCCTTTGTTGATGCCACTTTGCTACCCACATGGTGGCTCTCCTGCCTTCCCTGTGGTACAGAACGCTCCCCTCTGTGTACTAAGCACCTGGCTACTAGCCCAGGCATCACCAGGAGCAACTAGGAGACTGTGAGCCTGCTCCGAGCAGAAGTTTAAAATGCCTGCAGCTGCTGGAGAAGGGTGGAGCGCTGACTTTCTCCTGCACCGTTGAGTACTGGGCCAAGTCTCCAGTAAGGCCAGGCCTGCTGTTTTGCAACATACATCACTGCCTTCAAAGCCTCCCACACCCCGGCTTTTTTTTTACCTCTGGTAATCTGCTCCGATCAGACTGGTGCCGTTAACAGCCAGGATGCGGTCTCCTAGGGAGAGTCTGCCATCTGAGGCTGCAGGACTGTCCTGGATGAGGGTCCTGATGTAGATGCCAGGAGAGTTCAAAGGGGTGTGCTGTAAGCAATTAACAACAGTCAGTACCAGGGCAGTGGTGAGACAGGTTCTGCACAAGGCAAAGGGGGACACAGCTTCTCGGACTCGACATCTCTGGATCGGCAGTGTTGGGAGCCTTAGCGTCCACTGGTTACTAGCTGCTGCAGGCATTTAAAACTCCTGCTCAGAGCAGGCTTACAAGACACTGGGTGCAATCGTCAAAAGCAATTGAACGACTGACGTGCCACAGTCCCCTTTTTAAGTTGTTTTGGGGGGGGCTAAGGGCCCCCAACTTCCAATAAGCTTCCACGTGTCAGTCACTTTTGAAAATGGGACTCCGGCATTTCTGAAAATGGTCCCGCCCTGTGTGGGGTGGGTTTTGGTTGCTTTTTTAATCGCCTGTAGCAGCCCAGGCCCCAGCTACAGAAAGGTCCCCAATGTTGCTAATGCTGGTAGAGCTGAATCCATGTGAGCAAGGGTGAGGCTCTTGCAGAACATTTTCCAAGTGCAGATGACTTCACAAGAGAAAAGGCGAACACTAGTTGTGTGTGCATGAAATAGATTTTGCAGTCTATCCCCACCACCTACAGAGGGAGACCTCGGACCAGTGACTTCCCCCAGCTTATGCATTCCGACAGACTGAGAAGATGCCAAACACGTGCCCTAGTTCCTTTGTACGCTCAGTGGGAGTCTCATGACCTGCTCCAAGAATTCTGCAGTACCAACAGGCCAAGCTTCTCCAAATACCAGGCCAAGGCTGCTGCAGAGCTAGGAGGAACCTGAAATTCTGAGGGCCTGGCATCTACTGCTGCCTGTGGACCTCCTGGGGGTTCTAGTAGCAAGATGGGTGTTTGAAGCCCTGGGCTACGGGTGTGCTCTCATCCAAGCAGAAAGCAGGGCAGCCCTCAGCCCTGTTTGTGCCTCCAGGTGGACAGAGGAGACTGCTGGCCACGCTTCCCTTGTTTGTTTTAAATATGGGAGAAGAATCATCAACAAGCCAGGCAGGACAAAGCTCCCTCACTGAGTGCACATGGAATGCAATCGGAACTAGGGGGAAGGCCTTATTTTCTACAGACTAATGCACTGCTGAGAAAGCCCCCAGCTACAGTGACCCATTGCACTAAACCAGATTGCAACCCCTAGTGCAGGGGGTCCCCCAACGCGGTGCCCGTGGGTGCGTCTAAGTGCGCCCGCGTACTGGCCGGCGGACGAGCATCCGCCGAAATGCCACCGACAAGCAGCAGCATCCAGAGGTGTCGCCGCCGAACCTCAGCGGCATTTCGGCGGCGACGCCTCTGGTTGACGCTGCTTGTCGGCGGCATTTCGGCAGATGCTCATCCGCCACCACGGTCCTCCGGGGCTCGTCGTCTGGCACCCGCCAGACAAAAAAGGTGGGGGACCACTGTCCTAGTGCATGAGAGCAGGGACGTTCCTGAGACTTTTCTGCTTGCACTCAGCACTGGCTATTCTGAGCGTGTGCCGTGAATGCAGGGCAGGACAAACCATTTCATGCCTACTCAGCAATGAGTTCTTGGAGGGTGCCCTCCACCTGGCCAGCATCCGGCCAGATTGTTTTTGACATTCACCTGTCACTTGCGACGGGGCAGGAAAGGCCTTCCTTAGTCTTGCATCCTAGCCTTGCAACCTTCTGCCGCAAAGGACTCTAGCAATAGCATTGGGCATATCTAATTGAATCTATTCTCTGCAGGCCTTGGGGCAGATTTGATATAAGCATTACAGCTAGGTCTGAGCTAGCAGGTGTCTGAGATCTGATTCCTTACAGGGCCTTATTGGGATCCATCAGTATAACCTAAGAGATCATGGCACTTGCATTCACCCCAGAGATTAATCCAAGCAAGCACTTGGTCAGATTTCATAGGAAAGGAAGCCGGGGCTAGCTATAGGGCATACACCCGGCATTAGCTTTACAGGTCACTTTTCATCTTCATATAATACATTCCCTGCAGCACGAGCCCAGGTCGAAATATTCTGCGAGGCCGAGCGGAATGTACTCACCAAGCCATCAATCAGGCCCATCCCCAGCCCAATGGGCCCTTTTTCCAACTCGACCACAAAGACGTAGCAGAAATCATCCGTGGCTGAGCTGCGACTGGAGGAAGCTGGCGTGGGATAGTCATAGGGCATCGGAGAGCATCCTGGGGCCAAAGAGATGATGTTTCAGGGGACAGACAAATATTACTCACCCAACCCAGCCTGCTCCTCTCTGCACGGAGCTCCCCCTTTCCTGCCCCACCGGCAATCACAGCTGAACCAAGCAGTGTATCAGCCAGGCTCCCTGGAGTGCCTCTGTGCCTGGCAGCAGCACATCTGTCGGGCGGGGGCTGGGGGGGGCTCACTTCATTTGGGCTTTGCCAAACTGCCCATGCAGTGACACTCAGGGAGTGCAGCAGGCAGAGCTGGCGCTAGGCATAAGCAGACTAAGCAATTGCTTAGGGCCTTGAGCAACTCGAGGGGGTCTCGTATTAGTATGTGTTGGGGGGGGGGGGGGGGGGGGGGCAAAATATTCCTGCTTAGGGCCTGCAGTGGGCTAGCACCAGCCCTGACAGCTGGGGACAGACAGCGAAAATGGCAGAAAATGCTTCCCGA